TATACACATGCATATATATATATACACATGTATATATAAATACATGTATATATATATCGTTATGCATTAAGAGTCATATCGTTATGCAATAAAATTTAGATCATGCTGAGATAATAATAATGAGATCGATTCACTTTTAAATATAGACCATAAATAATCATGGTCATAGGTTACTCGAGAGGGACATGTAGATAACTAGACAGACTAGTGTGCTGTCTATCCGTCCATATGATTGAGACAACTAGTCTCCTAGCTGCTCGTGTGGGGACATTTAGGCTACAGTACATGTGCTTATTAGAGAATGAGTTCACTGATTGATTCGTTCACGAAATGTTGGATGGTTCATAATACTTCATTTTCAGACAGCGATTCTGTTATCCTAATTGTGTACCTAGTCCTTAGGCTTGAGATACCTAGGATGTCCTGTATAAGTACTCTACTATTTGATACCAAACTTTTAGGTTTGAAACTTTTAGATCTAGCATAATTGGTCATCGGGAGTGGCAGTCAAGCTTACGAGGGCTATTGAGTGTCGATAGAGGATCATCCGCTTTTCGTGTCATAAGAAGAATATCCCATCTGTTCTTGCTCAACAAATCCTTGGCCAAGGCCATTCAAATTGAGAGAGAATGAGTTCTCCGGGAGAATCTGATTAAAGTGAGACTCAAGTAGAAACCGTATGGGTTTGACAACACCATACCCGGTATACGATCTTTGGGATATTAGATGGATGAGGGACTATAGGTAATGGTAACTGAGGATAAATATGTCCAATGGATTGGATTCAACTATATAGTTTGGGGACTATGGCATAGTGGCCTGTACATCCGCAGTCGATGAGTCGAGTGAATTATTATGAAGATAATAATTTACTGAGCCAGAATGAGTTCTGATTGGTTTGACTCATTGCAACAAGTAAAGGTTCAGATATGAGATATCCGTTAGAGCCCCTATCTTATTGAATATCTATTACGCCCTTGAATTATTGGATCTTATGGATAAGATCCAATAAGAGCCAAAGAGATTATTGGATAGAGATCCACTAGTCTAAGAGGCTTGGGTAGTTGGATGAAGATCCAATACCCAATAGGGCAGAATCCATTAGGGTAATTTTGATAAGGGACCTCTATAAATAGGAAAGAACTAAAGGCTCATAGGCTAGAGGCTTCTTAGTTGCCACCTTCTATTCTCCTCTCCCCTTCTCCTCCTCATATAGCAGTTATAGAAATTTGAGTAATGATTTGAGGAGCTTCGTCACAGCCCTACTATGTGGATCATAGCTAGTGAGGAGAGCACTTGAACTCCTTCATCCAATCCCATATATATGGAGAAATTTAGGGATATACGATCTCCCTAAGTAAAACACTATCTCACATGTGGTTTTAAGTTTTGAGTTTTTGCACACCAATTTTTGTACGACGATAAACACCCTTTTGGGAAATTTAAGGTTTTTGTTTCCTTTTCTTCCGCTGTGCATGTGATGTCGCCCATAGATTTTCGTATAGTGGTACCAGAGCTAAGTTGTTCGTATGAAAGATTAGTTTTGAACTATGTGTGTTGCATTTTAGAAAAGCTTTTGACATCAAAATCTTTAACAAAAAAGGTAAGAAAGGGTAGCAACTGTTGCTGCCCTTGCACGTTGGCCAAAGGTTGCTTGCAACCTTGGCCGAGAGCTCAAAGGGAGGTCTCGACCACTTATAGTAGGCCACTTGCGTGAAGGGACCGTAGGCGATTGGCGGGGGACTATCATCCGCCCATAGGTATGGCCGCTTGTGCGTGGGCACTATGCCCGCCCACAAGGGTGGCGCTTGCGGGCACTGGGCCCTTAGGCAAGCTCCATTGTGGGTGGCGCTCGCTCGCCATTGTGGGTGGCGCTCGCCCAATATCGAGCTGGTCGTGAGTCATACCTATTAGAACTTCTTTTAACTTAGCGAATTATTATCTCTATAATAATTCACTCGACTTATCGACTACGGACGTATTAGGCCACTACGCCATAGTCCCCAGATGATAAAGGGGAATCTAATCCATTGGACCTGTCTATCCTCAGTTACCATATACTTATAGTCCCTCATGTTGAAAAATCTTGGGAGC